CCCCCCAACTGGTTACCTCTGAGAAATGGCACTCTTAGACTGTGACAGACATGTGTTGGCTTGGTGTGGGCCTATTTTTACATGTTTTCTGGTTCGACTGCTCTGTGCCTAACTATATGTATTTTTTTTCGTTCACTAATCGTGAAGCCAAGTTGCAGTATTACCTAATCTTACATTTAGATCATATATTAGGGCTGTGTGCGAACAAACCTCTCGGTGTCCAGGTTTAATAACAAGTTTCTGTTAGTCTTGGTCCCAATTTTCTTCTTTTATTAAACTATTAACAGTTAATTAAGTAAATATAATTTATGTTTATATTTCTTTCTATTACTCACAGTAACTACAACAACCGAGCTACCGAGAGAAGTTGTAACAATTTGCCGTTGGGTTTGTTTGGAAAAAACAACAGCACTAACAACCGCATTAGTGACAACTGAGGGTATGTTCTTATCTTTATTATGTACATCTGAAAATTTATTTATAATTATTATATGACACCACAACTGAAACGTCGACAGCAGTGGAGATAACATAGACATTGGAAAACTCCTTATGTAATCCACATACATTTAACTACTTCTATTACCTGTCATTAACTGATATTAATTTAAACTTAATTGTCCAACAAAGTTTAAAATTTTAAAATTTTGTAATTAATAAGTAACTTTTAAATATAATAAATGTTAATTTTTTTTAGCTAGCCAGTAATTTACATTTTTCATATTTATACAGAACCTACAATAACAGCACCACCGACCACATTAGTGACAATTAATGGTATATTTATATATTCGTAAGGATTTTATATACATTGTATTAATGACTAGCTGTTAAGAAAACCAAAAACAAATAAAACAACGTAATTTGTAAACTTTGCATTCAAACAAAAGTTGGATGTTGTGGCTATCTCTAAAACATGGGTAAAAGCAGATGACACAGCTGTTTTTGTAAATATTATCCCATTAGCAGTTATTTTAACTTCATCTCGTTCATTGTTTATGAAGCGGAATCCAAAATGCACGCATGGATTTCAGTGTATGTGGCAGCAAATTGTTATTCATTTTATTTATTTCTTTCTGAACATAAACAATATACAATAAACAATACATTAAAGGCCTGTTTACACTATGACGATAACGATCAACAATAAAAAGCTGAAAAGCAATTGTTCATAAAGAAAATAAGATAAGTTTGCACACTAGCACGATTCGATAACGATTTATCGTGTATAAGATAACAGCAATTTTCACAATCAAATGACGTCATCATCATGAGAAAACGATCAAATTGTATTAGTAAAACGATTTTGATGCCATTTGATATGATTTGTGAAATTTTGTTATTGTGAAAACCTATTTTATTTATTTTATTTTCTATTGCTTTTTAGCTTTTTATCGAGGCCTTAAAACAAGAGGCCTTACAACAAATCAGACACAAATTAGTTCATAAAAACATTTAAAGAGGGAGGAAAACCAAAAAGAGACCTGATTCTACTATTAAGTGGTTTACCTTACAAAAACTGATACAATAAATATAATAATTAAAATCATGTATTATTATTATTATTATTAATATTATTATTAGTAAAATAACTTCCACACAAATTAGTTCATAAAAACATTTAAAGAGGGAGAAAAACCAAAAAGAGACCTGAATCTACTATTAAGTGGTTTACCTTACAAAAACTGATACAATAAATATAATAATTAAAATCATGTATTATTATTATTATTATTAATATTATTATTAGTAAAATAACTTCCACGGAATGAAATTAGGTTATTCAATGGGATATTTCTATCATTGGGTAGACTGTCCCATTTTCGTGGAAAATGATTAAAAACAGAATATTTAGAGGCATTGGTTCTAGCAAAGGAATGAATGAAGGTAAGATTTTCAAGATGACGAGTTTTAATTTTAACAAACTTAAAATTATCAAGTGAATATTTCCCCCAGATACAATTAGCAACAAATATAATGCATATAACAAAAACGATCTTCAATAGTGTCCCAAAAGTTTACAAATCATTCGAAATGTTAAAATGTGGAAATCATGTCATTCTCCTAGTGGTGTATTGACCCCTTTGTTAATTGACTGCTCAATGAACGTTTTCATCATTACACATTCAAATCACACAATTGTTAATTTTAAACATGAAGTTGTAATATTGTTTATGTCAAACTTTTCTAAAGTTCAATATGTGCAAAATACCACTCTGCACGATTTGTCTCACACTCTAATTTTACCGCCAGTTGTTCTCCATAAATCTGAATAAAATCACAACATATTATAAATATATAATATATACAGTATATGAATATATATATATATATATATATATATATATATATATATATATTTTAATAAATTAAAAATAATATTTCCCATGCTCAGGTAGTGGTTTGCTTGTTGGAATTTTACTGGGTATCGCCATTGGGATCGTATCGACATCATCTCTTTGTATTATTCTCTGGAAAACGAGATCTAAATCTTTAAAGGTAAGCAATAGAAATATTCAAAGATTCAAATAAACTTTATTGCAAACTTAGGAAACTTTGAAATGTACATAATAATTAAAAGTACTAATATTAAATATATTTAAAATATTTAAAATACTCCAGTTAAACACATAACAGTTAACATAGAACATAACAATTTTTCTGAATGTACAGTAATTTTATGAAGGTATCGCACAAATAAAGATAATACGCAATGAATAATGATGATAGCACAATTAACTCCCATAAGGGGTAGATTCTTGCTCCTATATCTTTATAGAGGTAAAAGGTGTTTTAACACTAAATTCTCTAAAATGTAAAGATTGAGAATTGCCTTAGGTGCCTATCTGGTTTTGGAATTGAATTTATTCAGTGTAAACACCAAGGATAGCACAAAAGTCTAGAAGAATACTTATTTCCAGTGGGGGTCCTTCTAGTGGTGATTGGGCAGTACACCGGAAGACAATCCCCTACTTTTTTTGAAGAGTGTACTGCGTTTTTTAAAGTGCACATAGGCCATAAATGCGCACGGGCTTAACGTCTCATCCGAAAGACAGTGCGCTATTGTAACTTGTATTACAGCCCTCTAGCTTTTCAGCTACCTAAAACAATATAAAAAAAAAAGGTTGGGAATCAGGGGGTAATTTAATATATAAACAGATTATAAAACTAAACAATATATTAATATTAATAACATTTTGATCTGAATGAGTTTAAACACATATTTTCGAATGAAAGTCATTTATTATTTATTTTAAAGGCTACAAAAAGGACAGACAATGAAACGGGAGCAAAGGTAAGAAATGTAGTTAAAAACTGCAATTAATAGATATTAATAAATATGGATAATGCTTAGCTCGTCTCACACATTTTGTATTGTAGAAGATGAAATAAATATTAATATAATATTGAATCGTAGCTCAAAGCAAACATTTGAAGGTTAAAAATTATTGATATTTTTCTTATTTTATGTAGACCTAAATTATTTAGGATGCGTTTTTCTTTATTTATTGCTTATGCATCATGAATATAAAAGTAATGGAACATATTACCAGTACCAATCAAACAAGCACCAACGCTACAACATTTTGAAGCATCCGAGACCTTTCAATTACATTACCTTTAATTACATTACCTTTCAATTACATTACCCAAAAGTTAAAATTGTCAAATTGTCTAAATTGTGATTAGTTTAAATATTAAAAGTTAAATATTTCTGTACTAAAAAAGGAAAGAAAAAGAAAGAGAAGCGATTACAAATGAACAATGATCGCTTGTGTGTGTGTTTTTTGGTTTTTTTTTTTTAATAAAAGAGGTTTTTACTTCCTGACTAGGGGCAGCGTCGTTTTCTGTCACAGCCAGACCTGATGCACTAGGTCGAAACAAATGCTGCTGTTATATCGAATCAGCTAGTGTGTTTTCTAGTGAAAAACGACGCTGCCTCGACATTGGTTGTTGGATCTCCTTCAAGACCAAAACCAAATTATATACCTTATGTTTTGTACACAAAATCATTTACTAGAACAATATATATATATTTTAATAAATAAACTCATATAGGTAAATAAATGAAACCCAATAGCCTGCATATTATCAAAACGCACTCTGACGCATATACCCCAGTGAGGTCCTGTGTTAGTAAATATTCAGATTCATATTAGCATAGATTGAATGATATTATGCAATGATTGGATATTGTTTGAAATTGTTGTTTGTTTTGTTTTGAGTGTCCTCACAAAGTTTTAAAACCAAACGCTTCACTTCAAGTCTCGGCTTTTCTAAAAACTAAGCTATCCTGTGGAGTTTTCTATTGGGACATGAAGTTCTTCTTAAGGTATTAATAACTCCATAAATAATACAATGATCTACAGAAAGATATAGTAAACATTAGAATTTAAAATTGAAAAAGTGCATTGATAAAAAACATTTCAATAATTTATTTTTCTAAAACACTGATAACATTTATAAGCTCTGCATTTTGTTATTACATTGTTTTTGAATCATAGGTAAATTATTAACAGACGTATTTGACAACTATGCATTTTTTAATTCATTAAGGCACCAAAAGGAATAGAAAATGAAGAACGCTCAAAGGCGAGATATTTAACAACTGTTGAATTTGGTATTAAAGTGGCTGGCGGATGGGTGGCGAGAGTGCCAATCGAATCTATGGTGCGAGGGGCATAACCAGTAGAAAAACAGTTGTGGCGTTTCCTTAACTCTCTTTAGAGACACTTCGGATAATTAACCATTTTTAGTCTCTTATCTAAGATTTCACATTATGGGTTATTGTCTGGGGCCAGGTGGTGTGGGATATCAAACAAATTTATAATTCAAAATCAGAACAGTAACTGTAAGCCAATTTGAATTTTTTGTAGATCAATATGACATTTATTGAGCAGACAAAAAAGAACCAGATGTACGAAGATATAGAGCATGACGATTTAAGCGAGAAGAACCAGACGTACGAAGATTTAAGGGAGAATGAAGATTTAAGGGAGAAGAACCAAACGTACGAGGAGTTAAGGGATAATGAAGATATAAATGGGAGTGATGAGAACTTTTATATAAATGTTAAGCCAAAAAAAGAAGAAATGTAAAGAACGAAATGTCTCTTGTCTCTATAAACAATAGGGGGTGCCAGATAAGGAATTCGAGAAATTCATTGAATTTCGAGTATAACATTACATTGAAATTGCGTTAAGTACCGTCATAAGACGTCATATTGAATTAATATGTTGGAGTTTGAAAAACATTATCTTTTCAAAAGTATTAAATATTGAAATTACTAATAACACAGACAGTACAATGAAAGATCATGTAGATAAAACATTCAAATTCTCTTTGCTTATGCTTTGAATCTAATAAAAACTCAAA